AATAATAATAATAATAAAAAAAGAGAGACCAACTGATTCTGGCATAGTGACTCTAAAACTAAGCAGAACTGCTTCTTAGGGTTTCCAAGACTACAGTCTTCAGGAGAGCAGACTACCACATCTTTCTTCCTCAGAGCTGCTGTGGGGTTCTAAGCATTCATTTTTTGGTTAACAGCCAAGCCAACCCTGACTCCTGCACCACCGGGGCTCTTACCCACTCCCTCATCCATCAAAAAAATGCCCTGCTATACAGTAGATTCTGATTCAAATTGACAGTGTATGGCAATCACTCACGGCTTTCCTTAGACTGTAAATCTTAATGAGAGGACACACTTCCCTGTGGAGCACCTTGCAGATTCAAAGCAAAGACCTTTTAGTTTGTGCAACACGCTAAGTGCTACACCACCAGAATGCACATAACTTCTCTAGATCTCTGTTTCCTTTTCCATAAAATTTGAGTCTTTGAAAGATTACACATAGCACTTTAATGACTTTTACTGGCCAATGAATAGTCATTGGAATAGATCACAGAAAATGAAACAGCTCCCACAAGAGACGTAACAAAAGGTTAAACTCCAATTTCAGATTCAAAATCTTAACTCAAGCTGTAAAGTCTCATGCTATTAAGAAGCAAAGACCACATTTTCTTTTGAGAAAGAGATGCTATTAAGATTTTAAGAATCATAAAATGATTTGCTTCATAAAAGCAGCAGCATTAAGCTGATTTCAAAACTCGAGGGGACAGCTGTAGGTAGCGAGAAAATTAAGGAAATATTTGCACTGTACTAGACTGTATGCTCTTTCTTTTCCAAATCTAAGACCAAATTATGAAATGAGCAGTCACCTGGAGCTTCACAGTCAAGTCACGGAAAAACCAAAATTGCCTAAGTTGTTACTATTCTGAAAAAGATACAGATACCACTAGCATTCACTCAAGACAGTATTCTCAAATGTTCAGAAGTGTTTGAGAGGAGATTATGGAAAAATTAAATATGTAAACAAGCAGGCAAAAATATTCAACCAAACAAAATAATTTACAAGTAATGTTCAGGCTGTTTATCCATAGGTATTATATTATCAGTAATGCAAAAGTTTACGATAATAAACATAATTATGTCTTTCTGTTTGTTAAACCAGAAGTAATCTCTGGGTTTAAAAAAAAACAACACTCTGTTGAATAAATATGAGCCCCAGAAGAAAGTACATGGCATCTGTACTTATGTTTGACTTCACAAACTATAAGTCATAATTGTGTGACTTTGATCAAAAAGCTTAACAGACCTAACCTTCAAAATTTTCACCATAAATTGGAAATAGTAAAAATAGCAGCAGCAACACTACCACCTAGCCAACAGCATGAGATGAATCAAATGAGTTAATAAATATTCTGAAAACCAAAAAGAAAAAAAAAAATTTCTTAAAAGCCCATTGCCATCAAGTTGATTGCAACTTATGACTCTAGGGAGCTCTAGTGGCCTAGTGGTAAGAAACTACACTGCAATCTCAAAGGCACACAGTTCAAAAGCACCAGCTGCTGCTTGGGAGAAGGATGGGGAATATCACATGCAATTAACTGCATCTGAAAACCCACTGGAGGTTTAGCTATGGGGAGGTTCTGACTTGAGGGTACAACACAACAACAATGACTTTATCCCATAAAATTTCCAAGGCTGAAATCTTTACAGAAGTAAGCTGCCACAAATTTCTCCCACAAAGCAACAGAGCAGCTAGTACATTTGAATGACTAAGCTTTCAGTTAATAGCCATAGCTTAAATCATTGTCATTAGAGTTCCTTAATGTATACAAAGGACTCAGTAAACCAGCCAGGGTGAAACAGCATATGGTATATTAAATCAGGGACCTAACAAAACACTAACTCTGGGGCAAACTACAAATTCATTTTTATATATATGCTAAATAGAAAATGTATACATTATTTGAAGATTAATATTATGAGACCAGAAAAAAGTAATAATTTTACACCTATATTTGGACCAGGAGGCAGTCGTCAGAACAGAGCAAAGGAACACTACATGGTTCAAAATTGGGAAGGGCATACGCCAGGGATGCATCCTATCTCCATACCTTTTCAACCTGTATGCAGAACAGATTATCCGGGAGGCTGGGCTATATGAAGAGAAATGTGGGGTCAAGACTGGTGGACGATCTATCAACAATCTGCGTTATGCAGATGATGCAACCCTGCTTGCTGAAACTGAGAAGGACCTGAAGCACCTGCTGCAGACGGTCAAGGACTGTAGCCTCCAATATGGATTGAGGCTCAATGTCAAGAAGACAAA